CCATTTGTTGTGGAACGTTTTCTTTTCTTAAAAAAAGAGCTTCAGTTCTTTTGGAACGCATTCTTTACCGTTCTTTTTTAGTAATATTTTTCACTGGGTTAACTAATAAAGCATGTTTTTAGTGAGTAATGAGTAAAACAAAAATATAGGAATTTTTCCGAGATAGCATATTTTATTTTTTTATAGAGATTTATTTATTATTAAGTACAATTTAATATTTGAAAGGAAAACGAATACCAATTACAATTCATTATATGGATTGTCTGTTTTCTTCCTTTTAGTGATTTCGTTGTAGTAATGTTTAAAGATATTTGAGTGTTGTAAAGCCGTGCAAGCGTTCCATAATTTAGAAGCACCTGTAAGAATGCCGCTGAATTCCCATTCATTTTTGCTAGTTGATAGAAAACATGGTCCTCCGCTAAATCCGTAAGTAGACGGAGTGTCAATGAATAATTTTCGATCATCTGTAAGGCGCAATTCACCTGTGCAATTCATAAATTTTTTATTAACGAGCAAATTTCCCGGTGTTTTTCCATTTATTGTATTAACGGCCATTAATGATGACAATGAAGTAAAAAATGGATCAACAATTAAATCAAAAGCTGTTGGTGGACGACCAACATAACCAATAACATTGATAGATGATGAATATGGTATTTTTGGATTCTTATTTAATTTGGGTTGACATATTTCGAAATACTGAAAAATATCTGTTTCAATATTGGTACATTTGATGATACCTGCATAAAAACACAAGAGTATATTGTTGATAAACTACGCCCGTCGGATTATTTCCAATAAATTCAAGTCATTCCCTCAATTCTCAACTACCACATTCAATATATAATTTTTTTTTAATGTTTATCATTTAGTTATTTCATCATTAACAAGCAAAACTCTTATTAAAAAATGGTAGAAGTCAATTCTTATATTCAACTGAAGCTATCCAAGACCTCAACAGAAGAACAATTAAATGAGAAATTTTCAACAATTTAACTATTAAACGAAGAGAAGCAAATTGGAACAAAACGTTGTTATCTTGTCTTCAAATTCATATAAACTTTCTATTTGAAACGATTGAAAAAATATCAATATTTTGTTATTAATTTCTATAGTGTATTTTTCAAAAATGTATTCTTGTTACATTTCTACGACTGTTTCACATAAAATAACTCTTAGCTATGCCTAATTATTCTTTACAAATTATTTCTCGTATGCATATTAGTGTTCTGCAGCAGAATTGGGGTAGCAGCTGTGCAAAAAAATACTATGTCAGATCCGACTTTGAGATCCGACTCAGCAATTGATAGGAAATCAAAATTTCAAAATACCTTTAATTTTTCAAATTGATATTTATGTAAAATTCTCTCAATGGAAATCCGTTCGATGATGATCGAACCACTTATTCTAGTTGAGAATAGATCATACAAGCAGAAACAAGATTATTTTATTCAGTAGAATTTTTCTAACTCAAAATTTATTCATCGATTAACAGCAATACTATAACCAAGTAACTATATGCATTAAAATGACAACAAGCTAGCAAAAATATGAATATATTGTGTCAATTTATAAAAAATCATTGATCTATGTCAAATGAAATATGACGTTTAGTATCATCACACTGTTTCATTCAAACTTGATCAAAAACATTTGTTCACATTTGTCTGATTTTTGAAGAAAAAAAGATCCAACTTAATGAGCCTGACCACACTTATATATAAAATAGTGGCCATATTCTTTTACGAGTAGTTATGGCGGTGTCGTTTCTCTCATCTATCTTTCTTTCTCGGTTGTCTTCCTGGTATAGAAACTTTTCACTTATTATATTCTCTCTCCACTCTCCTTTTTGATCTCTTCATTTCTTTGAAGTTGTCCTTTTTTTAATTTTCGATGAAGACGATTAAGATTGGAATGATGAAGAAGCTACACTCTTTCTCATTTCTAATCAAAATTATCATCATCGAGAGTAAAAAAAACTTATGTATGAGTAGCTAGTACCTTAGTCTGTTACAAATAAATTTTTGTGAAGAAATAATGATGTTTTGGAACTAACGAAACTATTGTCTACTGAAGTATTAGCTTTTTTCACTCGTTATGATGATAATTTTGATTAGAAATGAGAAAGAGTGTAGCTTCTTCATCATTCCAATCTTAATCGTCTTCATCAAAAATAGAAAAATGACAACTTCAAAAAATGAAAATCAAAAGGTAGGGTGGAGGGAGAACATTATAAGTGAAAAGTTTCTATGCCAGGAAGACAATCGAGAAAGAAAAAAAGATAGATGAGGGAAACGACACCGCCACAACAACGCGTAAAAAGCTATGGCCACTATTGTATATATGAGCGTGGTGAACAAGCATTCGCGAATAAGGCTCATTCAGAATCACTTAATTTAGTTGCTTTTTTATAGCAGTCGAAATTATGTTTTCTTTCTTGTTGGTTATGGAAGAAATGAAACAGTATTCGTTTTCATATAAAGTCAAAGTTTGAAAGTTCTATTATAACCATTATTGGATGTGCCAGATATTTATTAGTCACAATTTGACTTTAAATCAGATATCTGGTGTTCGAGAAAGAAAAGTGTTACTCGTAGTCAGGCTACGGAAAATCGTACCTATTCTGTAGATTAACATATCCAATATGTATATGAGATAAACTAACACAATGAGCTACTTTGACATATTCAGTAAAAGTTCCTTTTTTTTACAAATAAAAATCTGTTGTCGGGTAAATTTATGTAATTAGATCGGTTAATATAGATGTCTTATAGGCATTATGTCTATATACTAATCTTAATTTTAATTATCTTATGAGATTTGAAGATGATTGTTTTCGAAAAGAAAAGAGTTTTGATAAAAATCTTATATTAATCCAGTACAAATGGAGAAAACGTGTGTTTCAACATAAATACACCAAATAAATTGTTATTCTTAGATATTGAGAGTATAGTTCAGTAAAGAAATATTTTCACTGTATTGTTTTTGACAATACATTTTTTCTATCGTTTGAAATAGAAAAGCTCTAAAAATAAAAAAACTTAGTTTCTTGTAACAACTTAGTCTTTACTGCTTTAGGTATATCTAACAAATTTGAATAGAAGTCTAAATTCGAGTTTATTATTTTTAACCTGTTGAAAGACAAATATAAAGATAAATACAATAAAAAAATGTCTTTACAAACCTATATCATCTTTCCAAGCGTTCGACAATGATAATTTCGATGATATTAATTGACAATCCATTCGTGGTGATCTCAAATTCAAATGAGTTTTTTCATTGGATATTACAGTTATTCGAAATGATGAATCGGAAATAAACGGATAAATCATTAACATAAAAATGTAGATTATACATGAGCAAACAATGCTATATAAGACTAAACCGAATACGATTTTAATTATTTGTTGACAATTAATAAATGAATAATAGGTAAGCAACAATGAAGCTGCTATAAATGTCGTCGAAGAGGCAATAATCACGAATAATATAAAGCTTATATCCAATTGAGGTACCACTATATGAAAAGCTGTCAGCATTATAACAGATGGTACATTATTCTCGGTTGATTTAAAGATCACAATTCCAGTTCCAACTAGTTCTTCCGCAAAACAAGTATACATATATTTAGGTTTATATTTATGATCTATCTTTACAATACAACGAGACATAGGTACCGTTGCTTATACTTCACTGCAGGAACCTCAAATTTTGTAGGTTTGATCAATTTGTCCTCATTTTTGCTCAAATCCATCTGGGCTCATTTTGTTTCGATGCATTTTTCGTCTAGAATGTATATATTCATTCCCGAGTGTACGTTCGCACATAAATAAATTTAACATTTACATCTTTTGAATCGAATCCACTCGCAATCAGGAAAAACTAAACTTATTCAGATAATTACGACAAATATAAATTTCAAATATTTCACACGAGTTGAGCAATTATTTCACGGTCTGTCTTCGGAAGAATTTCAAGATGTCTACCATTTTCGAAAATTGTTTCAACTTTTCTGATCGAGACAACGTGTAACTATTCTATAAGTCTGCAAGGCCTATAGTCTTATAATCACAACAGATTTTTAACTGAGCGGCTAGTCGTTCGTTGTCGGTCCTCTGGGGCGTCACTCTCGACTAGCCGCCTCCACTAGTTTTGTTTCATATATGCGGTGAACGTGATCCTTTTAAACACTACATGCTTGATTGAAAGCTTCGCTTCATTCTATAATTATTAGATGAAAACAAAGTGAATTTTCAAGAAACCCGAAAACAACAGCTGTGGGACTAATTTAATTCAGTTTCATCTATATACGCGATAAATTTCCTCACAATTTAGAGAAGAATAAGACAAAATTCCCGAGTACTTATACAGTTTGTGTAAATTACGTTCGTAGATACGCTAATCTAGAATTCTAGGGGTTAAGTTTAAATAAATTCTTCGTGCTACAATAAAAGTTGACATATCACGAATAAACTGAAGACTGAAAAAGCTTTCAACGTCTTAGTGCAGGTGAGTGGCAAGCCGTTGCCAAAGTGAGGTTCAATTCCACCGCAAAATACCTATAGCGTATTCGTAATAAGATCTCATATCAACATACAATACATCTACCACTATAAACATCATTGAATGGTACCCTTAAAAAATTTCCCTACAAAGAATTTCAATCACGAAAATGCGACGATTCAAACAGCTAGTAATCCATTATAAACTAGCTTGAACTATGAAAAATCATTAAGCATTTAATATTCAACCCAGAGACAGCCGTTGTCTTATTTGCATCAACTTAATTTATTTGTTTAGGATCATAACAGCTATTAATGGTTTTATGCTACTCCTCAATGCTTTCGAACTACCGCTCACTCGTCAGTTTCTAGTCACTTAGTTTTACTTTTTCAAAAGCTCATCTGTTCATTCTGTGCAATAGACTTCTGGGCGACCCTCTATGTTTATTAAAATGATGGCAAAATACTTTTGAAAAACCACATTTGAAATCTAATAAATCCGCTCAAAACAACTTTTCCGTCAACCCTTATAAAAAACTATTGTTTTCTTAAAAAAGTCTTTCTCTATCCTAAAAACAGCAAAATACAAAATTTCAAAAAAAGTAACAACGCCATCGTGTTCCTCGACCCCAGTTACGTTCGGTCAAACTTATCCCTACAGGATATTGTTTGAGGTTAGTTAAGTTTATGCATCTGCTTTCCTATTGGACGAGCGAACGAGCGACGAATGAACAGAGGAACGAACGCATTTAAACTCGTTTTTCGTAATACCCTTCTTTCAGTAGAGGGAACATACCTGCTAGAGATGCTTGGTAATTCTCTTATATCTAATTGTGCTACTGGTTTTAGTTATTTGTGTAAATTAGAAGAAAAAATAGAAAATAAAACACAATTTTTGACTAAAGTAATTAAATTCGTACGTCATAAAACTATTGTGCTATAAGTATGTTTATACAAATAATTATTCACACATAGATAGGAAAAATAGAGAAGAAAGGTAAATTCAGACAGAAAAAGTATTAAACATGAAAAAGCTGAAGAACGAAAGAAAACAGTTGAGATAGATAGAGGCACGAAGACATGATGGCTACCACATAAAAATTCTCTCTCATTGAATTTCATTTTCTTGATTACCATCAGACAATTTTCGTTTGAGTGATTGTTCATTCGTTGCGTTCATTGTGGTATGACATATGTTCATACTATTGTTTAAATTTATACGATTAAATAAATTTGCTGAATCAGAAGAGAAATGGACGATATTTGTAACGAATTCATATTCAATATTTGGTAATGCAATTTTATAGAATGAAGCTAGATCAGAAAAAGTAAAACTGATGAAGTGAAATTTGATGTAACTTACCAAGAGCTAAGGCATCAGATCGGCTGAATTGACCTTCACTAAGATCTGGAATTGGCAATTTATCATCTTCGTACGGAAGACTAGAATTGTGAATCACTTCAGACAACGTACGGTAAAGGTTTATGAATGATGTCTACAGTAAGAAGAAAAGTTATCGATATTAATTTAATAAAGAAAAGCTTCAATAATAATAAAAAGTGTTCTTTGAAACACTCTTTATCACAACATTTACTTCAGTAGGTTCAATTTTATCCGAAATGGCCCAAATTTAGGATGCATGAGACTTGTTACTATATCAGTTGATTTCGACTTCCTCCACAGATATTTTAACACATCATACGTAGGAACAAAATTTTTCATATGTTAACTTTGAGAATGCCATTTAAGAAAACGATCAAGATTGTTTTGTTCTGTTGGTGTAATTTTATTCCAAAATGATCGTGTCTTTGCCTTTTGCACCAATCCAATGATTGTTCGATTATTCTTCCAAAAGAAAATATATAATTTCGATCAGAATAAGATAATGATCAATCACTCACCGAATACTTCTTTTCGAGACGATATTGGTTCATAAGCTTTTCCACGGAAGAATAAATTTCTTGCACGTGGCCACGCGCAATCATTTCTATGATTGTTCGTACAATGGTATGCGATGCAGCTTTCATAAATATGTTCCCAGGTGAATCAATCCGATACCGAATCCCATCGGATTCTATGGGGTCCTACCATCCGATGAAATCCCGTTGGATTCTTGGTTGAGGAATCAATGTCGAATCCGACAGTCGCATTTTCAATAAAATCCGATTGTCGGAACCAATGAAATCCGAAGCATTTCGGTTCCAATTGACGGTTATTGTCGGATTTTATTAGTTTCCGATATTAGGATCCGATATCGATTCCGGAATCAGGAATGCGACGATAATTCGATAGTTTCCTTGCGCCTTCCGAAAAGCTCCGTCAGATTCCAATAGGAACCGATCGGAACTCATCGGATCCTAGGCTAGGATTCATTCTCCTGGGATTGTAACATTTAATAATTTTATTTGTTGCTTCTTTAGTCATATTGAGTTGGTCACCGAGATCAATACGTTCTTTGAGTGCTTTGATCAGATCGTTATTTTGTTCGCCTATTTTTAAATCCAACGACGAACAAATGTTAAATACTTGATTTTCCAGTCGTCCAAGAAAAGTAATTGTATCAGCTGATGATGGTGATGGGTTCAAACGAAGAAAATCTTGAATACTTTTTCGAAAATCAACGTAGTTTTGCATTTTCTCCAAGTTGAAATATAAAATGACAATGACAAAGGTAATTCTTCACGGTGCATGTCCGTCCATTTGTTCATGATAAGCTATCGGACCACTAATGTTTCAAAGAAAGGAGAGATGTCACTGCGAGTGAGTGACCACAAATGGAGAGTTTTTATATGTAAAATACAAGCAGACAATGATTTCTCAAAATTGATCAAATCAGCTGGTCGAGCTTATCAACGAAATCAAAACAATTGCTTCAAACTGCCCAGGTCGTTCATTCCTACAATCGGATCCGATCGGATCTGAAAATGGGTTGCATCGGATCCACAAGATCGGAATCCGATACATATCTGATTGTATCCTACTCTGGGACCCGATGCGCCAAAAAGTCTGCTATACTTAACATCTAAAAAGCTCTTTTGCACTAAATAGAATTTTGATATTTTTTAAAATTCTTGCGTCGGATTCGTCAATAGTTCTGAAACCCAGAATCCAACTGGATTTCCTTGGCTAGTAGGATGTTTTAGGATCCGATAGAATCCGTCGTCGGATTATTCGATCTGGGTGAATGCTAAGCGTAACGATTGGAACGAGAAAATGACGAAGACGTCGACTAAATCTTAAAAATTTTGCTGCTCGTGGCAAAAGAAAACATTCTTCATTATTTTCCCGGTCATTATTTATTATTTCTTCGTTGTCTAATATTGTTGAAGATTGAATTAAAGGATTCGACTACGAATTTTGATTGGCATCATTTGTATCTTTAGTTTTCAAAAAAAAGCATAATAATAATAATTTGTGAGAGAAAAAGAAAAATAATATCCAATACACACCACAAGTAACAATTGATATCAATTGAAGACAAATAAGGAAAAATAAAATTGTGATGAGATAGATGTTGATATATACGTATCTAAATAGAACTTGTCTAAGTAATGTAATGTAAATGAATTTTATGATGTTTTATTCCTCTATTCTTAATGTCAAAAGGAGAAGACGAGAATTTCATTTATTGAAAGTCTTACGTGTCATGTGAACTTTGTTAGATGATTGTAGAACTCCTGTTTCTCGAATCTATATAACAGACCTCTCTATGCAGGCGGAAAACAATAGAGATAGAAAAAGTAATAATAATCATCATTATCATCGATCGATGCACTGCTCTATTGCCTGGCAAGAGTACTATTGTGACGAAAGATTGTTGAGAAGATAATTTAACTAATATTCCATTTCTTGTACTATGAGGGTAATTTTCATGTTTGAAAACGACGAATAAATTACATGTTTTGGCGTACGCAGATATATTTGTAAAATAGAATATTTCTTCATGATTATATAGTCAATTGAAAAGCACTTTAAATCACCAAATCTCTTTTTATTTTTCAATAAATTAATCGCATCGATTAATGAATATACCAATAGAAGATGGCTATTACATTTTGAATTGTTCATCAGATATTATTTGTTTTCTGATTCTCATGAAGCATGGTTTGCGAAAAAAGCAAATTCATCATTTGAATATTTTCGCTATTACATATAATTAGTTGGAGAGAACAGAGCAGTCATTTCTTCAATATCGTTCCAAAGTACGAAATGACTTCTGTTGAATGGTATCTAATACCACATTTGGTCGTTTGCGTATACATGTTTTTCCCTCGAGGGTGTGGGTGCGGGGTGTATTTTCCTCTCAATAATAGTCATATCCATACCCACACACACCCTCGTCCATTTCGTTTCCTTAAAATATTATCTATTGTTATATGTTTAATAATTGGAATACTTCATGTCTATCGTTTATTCTTTGTTTCAATGAAAAATGAGTTAATAGTCAAAAAATAATCTGTTTCATCAATTTCATTTCATTTAAATAAAGAATTTGAAGAAATATCTAAATAATATGCCACCATTCTATATTCGTCTGCCCAATTTTTCTGATGATGTAGCAAAGAATTGGTTTTATAATTTAACATATTATAAAATAAATTCAAAAAAATGTCCAAAGAATTATTGTGAAAAAAATGGAGTTTTATTTAAGCCACCC